ACACGAGCAGCTGGATACGAACAGGTGGAATTTACGCAGCTCATTTACACACTCTTCCTGAAGATAGAAGAGTTTGTTGAATCTGACGTGACATGTTCGTACGAACCCTTTCTACGAACAAAAGTAGGAGAAATTTAGGATAAAAATACGAACATGTTCTTGCATGAGGCCCATTGTGTTGAAGGAGCGATTTGATATATGAACTATTGAAATAGCACAAAAATTACAGAATGAGATACAAATCACCAAATGTAGGAAAAATTATCTCAGTAATGTCAATACTTTATTAGCATTCACACAATAACAATGTATATTTCACTTTATGATTGTTGACTTTGTTTATGCTGATTTATTCATCTGGTCTCCTTGAAACTTTAATACTTAATACACTCCAAGTGGAATCAGTAGTTTTTAATCCAAAGAGGGATTTTAAGATGAACACTGAATTATGTCTGGAAGTTCCAAAACAATGTTTGTAATTCATGAGAGATCATAAAAACAAGCTTTGTTTTGTTTTAGTGTTCAGTATGCATCTCAGTGACTTATCTATTTCCGCTCYCACTCTGATCTCATCTTTAGTCAACCCCGCCTACGTTCCCCCGCCGCAGTGCCAGCCAGGGGAGTTCGCCTGCAAGAACAACCGCTGCATCCAAGAGCGCTGGAAATGTGACGGGGACAACGATTGTCTGGACAACAGCGACGAGGCCGCTGAACTCTGCCGTGAGTGTACCGACGTCATTGTCATGGATACGTGGCAACACACGGAAAAACAAAATTACACTTAAAGGCCTTCGCTAACGCAAAGCGACAGAGCATTCACAAGAGTTTCCACAATGTCTCTTTCCATGCAGTGTATTGTTGCCAGTTTTGTTCTCATCAGTGCATTCCCTGAAGCAAAAACTCACATTGATTAAGATTTCTTTTCCCTAAATTTTCACTAGAAGTGGCCTCCTTGTTCTTACTGTGTAGACAAAAAAACAGGATGAAAGAAATCTGTTTTGTTTTTTTTCCTTTCAGATCAGCACACTTGCCCGGCTGACAGATTCAAATGCCAGAACAATCGTTGCATCCCTCTGCGATGGCTGTGCGACGGAGACAATGACTGCGGCAACGATGAGGACGAATCCAACATCACCTGCTCTGGTATGGAAAGAACAGACCCATTTAAATTAGTTGTTGCATTCTGTGTAATGTTGTACTAGACCTACTTTATTACCCAAGCAGCAGATTTTTATGTTGTGTAAGGCTTTATGGCACCTTTTTCATCTGAGTAGGGATTGTAAAAAGTGACAGAAAATATCTGGAAATTGGGAAAGAAAAATTTTTTCCAGTGCAAAAGTTTGTTGCTTAGAAAATCTGATTTTCAAATGCATATTTGGGATTTAGTTAAACCATTATAAGCAATAAATTTGCTAATCTAATGCAGATGATTTTGTCCTACTTAAAGAATTAAAGGGGATATGTCATGCAAAATCCACATTTTTGTCATTAAATGCATTTTGTTGTGTACTTGGAGTTGTACTAGGAGTGCAGAAACATGACTTTAGTCTCTCCCTGTGCTGTGATATCTTTATATTCTGTTAGGGTATTTCTCCACCTGTTCAGTTTTCTCTATTTTCTATTATGTTTTCAGAACTATTACGTCACAGTCTTTGCGATGGTACTGCCAAATAAGTTCTGGACTTACCAACTACAATTTCTTCATTCTCCTCTGGCTCTGGGTCAGACGGACAAGTCTTCCATTGATAACATCTTTTAGTTAATTTCTAAATAAAATGTTTCTGCGCTACCATATAGTCATAAACCCCTCTTTTAAACTAGAGTGGATATAGAAGCTGAAGGGGTGTGTGAAGTGCCTCATTTGGATTTAAAGAGTGGTATTTTACATAATCACATTTTTCAGCACATTTTTCACATTTTTTATCATGTTATAATTTCATTGCCTCATCAAAAACAAATCCAGAGTGTTGCTTTGATTCCTTCTGTTTGAAAAATCCTTGAATCTCCTGTGGTAGCCATGTGGAGCTGCCTTAACACTTGCTGGTACAAAGCACCACCTATCTGTACAAAACTTCTCCCTGGAGCTCAGTTTGCAGCTAAGCTCTCGCCCCACAGAGCACCTATCCCCTGAAGCATTGTTGTGAAAACATGCTGAAATGGTAGTGTGGTAGGAGGTTCCAGATGGGATAGGATATTTTAACAGGGACAAATTATGTCTTAAATAAATTTAAGTAGGTTTGAGGAAATATAAAATTACTGTTGTTTTTTAACGTGTTTTGACTTTAGTTTGGGTTTTTTTTTTGGCCTTTGAAAGCTTGAATATAACCTCAAAATAACCAAATTTCAAAAAGGCTTTTCACTTATTAGACAACTCATAAGTCACATTTCTCCCTGCCAGCCCGTACATGCCCTCCAAACCAGTACCCCTGTGTCAGTGGTCGCTGCATCCCCATCTCGTGGACATGTGACCTGGATGATGACTGTGGAGATCGCTCAGATGAGCCAGACTCCTGTGGTGGGTATTGGATCTACTTTGATGTTATTTATTTGTTTTATCTCTTAAACATAACCCATTGAATGCCTCTTATATTGTCTTCTTCTCCCAGCCTATCCAACCTGCTTCCCTCTAACTCAGTTTACCTGCGCTAATGGCCGCTGCATCAATATCAATTGGCGCTGTGACAATGGTGAGTATTCTTTTCCTTCAGCTTCCAGAAAGCTTGAAAACTGTCCAAAAAGCACTGACAAAACAAAACAAAAAAATCTCTTGTGTTGATCAGACAATGACTGTGGGGATAACAGTGATGAAGCAGGCTGCAGCCATTCCTGTTCCAGTGTCCAGTTTAAATGTAACAGTGGCCGCTGCATCCCAGAATACTGGACATGCGATGGGGACAATGACTGTGGAGACTATAGTGATGAGACTCATGCCAACTGCACTAATCGGGGTAAGAATGAGTACTTTATGGCAAAACTATAATCTTTTATCATGGCAGTGTTGTCTTTCCAAAAGCAATTGTTGCTAAACCTTATGTACTTGATAAAAGATCTGATCACATGGTGCATTGTGTTTCTCTGTTTACGCTTTGATATTTGTAGCCGCCATGTCTCAACAATGAGATCTTTACTGTTTCCTGTGTTCTTCATGCTTCTGCCTGCTTGCTTTCTTCCACTTATCATTCTCTGCAAAACCTCTCTGTTGCTCTGTTCAGGATGTGATAATGCTTTGTGGTTAAATAACAATTAAGCTCTTTCATGGTCGCCTGCAAATGGCGCAGATGTTGTGACTGCTGTGGCGATACGACTTCCCGTGTTTACCCTTTCGAATGGCTGGTGGCTGTTGTTTAGCTGCTGCGCAATTTTCTGTTTAACCGTCTGAGGAGGCAACTTTAAAAAAACCCATCAATGCTGCACTCTTGGTGTGCTTCGAGCTCTTGTGCACTACAAGCTCTGATGCTGTACGTACTTCTTGATCCATGCAGAAATGTGGCTCACTGCTGTCAAGTCCCAGCATGCAAAAATGGGGCCCAGCATGACCTGCTGGTCTGATGTGCAATCTGTGATCTGCTCTGTCTGCTTGTGTGTATGTGTCTGTGTGTGTGTGTGTGTTTTCATGCTGCCTGGAAGCTATTAGAAAAGAAAAAAAAAAACCATGAACACAATACTATCACTTTTCTTTCCTGTACCGTATTAAAAGGTCACAATTCCCTTTCCTGTTTTAACTGGCACTATCTCTTTTTTTTCACGAAGAGGGTGTTTGTGTCTCCTCTACTCTCAGTTTAACATTTGTCACTGAGGTGTTGATTTTGGCTCAGTATCAGGCTGTCTGTAACAGCTACAAAGTGAATGACTATAATGGCATTTTTTTCTCCTCTGTATTTGTCCAAATGTATTTGAATGATTTTTTTAAAATTTGTAGATTATTTTTTACTGCTTTGACATTGGATAAAACACGTAGTCTATCATTGTTTTGCTGAATTATTCCCGGTGTATCCCATCCAGTAACCCGTCCTCCTGGCGGCTGCCATGAAGACGAGTTTCAGTGTCGAGTGGATGGTCTGTGCATTCCTTTGCGCTGGCGCTGTGATGGTGACACCGACTGTATGGACCTCAGTGACGAGAACAACTGTGAGGGCGTCACCCCCTTGTGTGACCCGGCAGTCAAGTTTACCTGCAGAGACACCAGTAAGGATTTGATTTTTGGTCTGCAACTATCAATAATGAAAAATATTTATGATACAGTGTAATTTAATCCACTAAGTGAAACTCTACAACAGTTTTTGTTTTGGAAACAATCAAAAGAACGGTTGAATGAACTTAACTCGCAACGACTTGAATGTTGTTGTTGTTTGTTTGTTTGTTTGTATTTTAATTCAGTTAATACCAACACAACTAAGGAAACATTTTAATCATCTCATATTAACACTTTTTTTTGTATGTTGCTGTGTTCCTTGAGCGTCTTTGTGAACTTTGTGTTTTTGACAAGCATAAAATTTCTTGTGCATATTAATGACTAGATGTAATTTATTATTTTGGACTGGCCCAAATAACAATATTAGTCCTCCCTTGTCTCAGACGTGTTAATAAATACCATAAAAATTATACCCAGTATTTCTTAAAGGAATGCATATCCTTAAATGCCTTTCAAGCAAAGAGTTTGGAGGCCATGTGACATTTCTACCATATTGGACTAACTATAAAATAACGATATGCAGAATCTCAAACAATATTGCAAAATCCTTTGTTGTTCCCACACAAAGATGGCAATTTGAATTAGGGTTGGGCAATATTGGCAAAAAAAATTAATCACGATTAATTGTGGTATTTAGCCGATAACGATTAATTTGATGATTAATCCCCTGGAGTCCCTGGATACCCTTATGTCCTAGTCACATGACCAATTTAGTGGGAAAGATTTGCTCTTTGGAAAAATCTGTTCCAAATTGTGTCAAAATTACAGACTTCAGGCTATACATCAATTTTTTAATTGTGTTGATAGATAAATTGCAGAACTTTTTCTTTAAAATGTTCACCATATTTGAAATGAAGAGGAGCATCGAGCTCTGTTGGCATTAATCGTATTGATCATCAAGTGCCAAAAAATAATCGATTGTTTTTCTGACGATTAATTGCACACAATACGATTATCCCCAACCCTAATTTGAGTTTCTTAACATATGTGACTCGTTATTCATGATCTAAATTAAAATGTGCAATATTGAGACTTTATGTTGAAAGTTGTAGAACTCGAAACAGTATGTTACCTAGGAGTCACCGCATAAAAAGATTTTTATAAGGTCAAGATTGGTTTAAAACTAATTTAAGGTATTAGGAAGTGTTCTAGTTCCTAGATTGTATGTCTGCTTACAGAAGCTTTACTTTGAATAGAAGTGAAAAATTATTCTGTAGTTTTAAACTCTGAACCGACTAATATCTAGTCCATAAACTGAGATTCTGTGTATATTTTGGCTTTGTCAGCTCGCTGTATCAGCAAGGCCTGGGTGTGTGATGGCGACAGCGACTGTGAGGACAATTCAGATGAGGACAACTGTGAGGCATTAGTGTGTAAGTTATCYCACCACATGTGTGCTACCAACGACTCCATCTGCCTGCCTGCTGAGAAGCTGTGTGACGGCACCGACGACTGTCCGGATGGGTCTGATGAGAAACTTTGCGGTAAACAAAAAGAACAACAATTTCCTGTTTGATATCCAAATCAAAAATAAAGCATGAAGTTATTCTATTGTGGATCCATTTAAATTTCCATGTCTCTGTTTCTCGCAGACTTGTGTTCTGTGGACAATGGGGGTTGTAGTCACAACTGCAGCATAATTCCAGGGGAGGGCTTCATGTGCTCTTGTCCCCTGGGTATGGAGCTGGGACATGACAACAAGACCTGCCAGATCCAGAGCTTCTGTGCCAAACATCTTAAATGTAGTCAGAAGTGTGAACAGGAAAAATCCAGCGTCAAGTGCTCCTGCTATGAGGGCTGGGAGCTGGAGGCTGATATGGAAAGCTGCAAAAGCACTGGTAAAAAAAAAACTCATGTAGAAGGATTTTTAGAGCCTACCATCTCTTTTATTCTTTTAATGAAACTGGATTTTCTATATCAAATGTATGCTGCTGAGACATCTGCACTTCTGTTTCTTCAGATCCCTTCAAACCATTTATCATCTTTTCCAATCGACATGAGATCAGGAGAATTGACCTTCACAAGGGAGAGTTCAGTGTTCTTGTTCCAGGCCTAAGGAATACCATTGCTTTGGACTTCCACCTCAACCAGAGCACACTTTACTGGACTGATGTTGTGGAGGACAAGATCTATCGTGGAAAACTGTCTGAAAATGGAGGTGAGGCAGCTGTCAGAATGTGAAATTAAATTGAAAACCATATAGTGCCATTTTTTGTGCCATATATTTATGATTAAAAATGTGTTTCCAAAACCTACATTTAGCTAAGCTTTCCCTGAAAAGTGACTTCCACTGAGTATATTTACCATTAGTTCTCAGAACCAGATGTTTCTAAAGAGTCTGAGGTCAACACTGGGGTTCTGTGACCTGAATAAATCTCCCAGGTCAAGGTTAGCTTTTCTTACCCCAAAACCCCAGGTCTCCTTGCCGTTCAAGGCTGTGTTCCCAGCATAGCACTTCGGGGGCACACGGAAGGCTTTGTCTCTTCTCATTTGTCTCAGCGTCCACTGTGCATGACCGTTGCCAGAACACTGACGACGTGTAGAAGGAACAGAACTCTGCTGTTTCATTCCCCAGCCGTTAGAGTCCGCCATAAATATAGGGTTTGTGAGTAGGGACATGGTGACCAGCTCATAGATCAGCTCCTGCTGCTCGTTATGGAAGTCACTTCAGTGTCTCCAAGCTTGCACTGAATGGTGCCAATGACTTAAACAGAGCATTTCCTAAAGCAAAGGGATTGTCTGATCTCAGACACCATGTTTATTTTTTCACCGGGTTCACATGATAGCCAGTTGTTTCTGGAAAATGATAAAGAGAACTGATGCATGGTGCTTGTTTTCTTAGGAATKAGGTCAGGAAAATGGTGCTCATGGTAGTCAGAGCTACATCAGTAGTATTTCCTATGTACTGAAAAGCTCCATAAGGGTAAGGAATTGTAAATGGTATACTGTTGTTTCTTTTTTTGCTGTTTGTTTTTGCCAAATGTGTTATAAAAAACAAAACAGATTCCTGTCTTTAATTCTTGGTTTTCTTGTGTTATTTATTTATTGTGTGTGTGTGTGTGTGTGTGTGTGTGTGTGTGTGTGTGTGTGTGTGTGTGTGTGTGTGTGTGTGTGTG